CTTTAACAAATACCTTGCCATCACACTCGTTAACAGTATTTACTCATAAACAATTTCAAAGTCTATAAATTTAAAGAATTTAGACTAAACCCGGAGCAAAATAAAAATTCTCAATTTGTGTAAATATCGGTTAATTTGGAACACAGTGGTAACAGATGCAGAAATCTGGTTAGAAAAAAGAATTATTTAGGCAAAACAATCGTAATTAAGCAGAAAACGCCATGATATTTCAATAATATGTATTATTTCAATGCTCTTTTTAACTCCACCCCCCTTCCCTATGACAAAGACTACTTCTTTCGCCCTGTTATAAAAAGCAAACATATTTTAAATAATTTTTAATCCTTATGTGAATCAGTATGCATTAATTTAAAATTTGAGACGAAAAAATAACAAAAGTTCAACGCACAAGATCATGACATACAGTTCAACTTTTGCCATATTTTTAGAAATCCGTGTTCACCGCGAACACCCCTGTCACCGAGTGTCGCCAATATTTTTCCTACCTTGAGACGGATTTTTATGAAGCTTGCTTTATTACATTGAATATTCATTACAGATCGGGAAAATAGCATTATTCTTGCAAGCAAAAATTTTAAGTTTTATTGCAGGTGTCATAACAGTATTTCACTTGAGGTTCACGTCAAATCATGGCTGACGCAAAATAATTCCTGAATCTTCCCTTCCGATTCGGGCATTTTAACACGAGACTGGAGCTGAATTTTTTTATGAGATGAAAAACAATATGTAAACTTCCTGTATTGACTAGATTCATTATAATTTAGGGCGTGCTGATTTTTCTATATACTGTATTTGAGTGGGGAGTGATTAGGTCCTGGACTTGATTTTCAAGCACCTGCTCGACTTCCAACGAAACAAACTTGCGTGCCTTGCTGGATGCCTATGTATTTTTTGGTACTAAAATCTTTATAAAGAATTGTTTTACAAGATCTGAAAAGGAAACTTCTCAAAAGTTTGTTTTGAATTAATACCACCTACTCAAAGTTGCGCATTTTTGGTAAGAATATATAGCAAAATTTAATACTGTTGTGCAACCTATACACTTGTAGCGAAGCATAATACGCACTCTGGTGAGAGATTGGTATGTGGGAGCGTAGCGGGAACGACAACTCTGGATGGAGAATGGGAAGATCGTATTTTGTTTGATATGCATTGTCCTGTTATTGTGCACTTTGATACTGTGTTTATGACAAAAACAGATATAAATGAGCTTTCTTGTAAGTTTAAAGAAAATACTGTAGAAAATCAAGTTGTTTTAAAACCAAAGTGGAAAAGTAACAATGCACATGTATTTATTGAAAATTTAAGTGAAGAGAGTATAAATGAATTGCTTATGAATCTTGAGAATGTTGACATGAATCAAGTCGATATTGGTTTTGTAAATCAGGTTGTTACTAATTGTAATTCTATAATCAAGAATGCAGCAGAAAAGGCAGATATGTTTATTGTGACTAATAACAATGTGCAGAGGTCTGTAAGTTCTAAACTATGTAAACCCTATTTCAACAAAGAATGTTATTTGAAACGTAAAGAGTATCACAAGTGTAGAAATCTCCATTGGAGACTTAAAAGAGCTGAGACGGAACAGAGTTTATTACAAAGTAGTAGAGACTATAAAAAAAACTTTAAATAAACAGTTTAGAGAATATCAGAAAAATTTTATTAACAAATTGAGAAATTTACGTAGTACTGATGCGAAAGCATATTGGTCATTATTGAATAAATGTGACAGAAAGGGTAGTAAAAATGTTGGAAAAATTGCTCTTGATGTTTTCTATGATCATTTTAAGAATATGAATGCTCTAGATAATGATTCTGATGATGATGTCAATCAGCTTCCTAATGTAACTGATTTTAATATTGAATTGATCCAAGCTATTACTGAAACGGAAGTGTTGAATGCTATAAAATCACTGAAAAACAACAAAGAATGTGGTGGTGATCTTATATTGAATGAATTCTTGAAAAATACAACTGCAAAATTAATGCCTGTATTTGTAAAAAATTTTAATATTGTTTTCATGACTGGTATTGTGCCTGACAGTTGGTCAGAAGGTTATATTTGCCCAATATACAAAAACAAAGGAGATCCTAATGATGTAGATAATTATCGTGGTATTACCATTCTCAGCTGTTATGGAAAATTGTTCACTTGTATCTTAAATAATAGGTTGCATAAATATTTAGAAAACTCTGGCATGCTCTGTGAAGAACAAGCAGGGTTTAGAAAAGGCTATAGCACAACAGATCATATATTTAATCTTAAATGTTTAATTGATTTGTATTTACATAGAGGTAGAAAATTGTATTGTGCTTTTGTTGATTATCGTAAAGCATTTGACACTGTACGAAGGGCTTATTTATGGCAAAAAATGTTGAAACATTCTATAGATGGAAATATGTTAAAAATTATACAAAATATATACAGTAATGCAAAGTCTTGTGTAATGCAGGGCAGTTCTTGTTCCATTTTTTTTTTATTTGAAATATTGGTGTACGTCAAGGTGAAAATTTATCACCTGTTCTGTTTGCCATTTTCCTTAATGATTTGGTTGAATTTATGTCACATGCCTATAATGGTCTTGTAGATATGAACACGGCAGCTCACTTATTAGATACTGACGAGATAACTGTTTATTTATGTTTGTATTTGTTGTTGTATGCTGATGATACAGTTATTTTAGCAGAGTCAGCTGCTGAACTGCAAGCTTCTTTAAATGCAATGTACTTGTACTGTCAAACTTGGAAGATGCAAGTTAATTCTCTTAAAACAAAAGTTGTTATTTTTTCTCGCTCTAACATGAACACTGATAATTTACATTTTACTTATAATGGTGATAGACTAGAAATTGTTAGAAACTTTCAATATCTTGGAATAATTTTTTCTAGTAAAGGTACTTTCAATGACGCAAAGTCACATCTGGTACAACAAGCCAGAAAAGCTATGTATATTGTTCTTAGAAAATCCAGGAAATTAAATTTACCTATTAATATGCAACTGCAACTTTTTGACACCATGGTTGTACCTATTTTGTTGTATAGTGTAGAAGTATGGGGTTTTGAAAACTGCAGCATTTTAGAATCCTTTCATATGGAATTTTGTAAGAAAATTTTGAAAGTTAAAAAACTACTCCTCATTGTATTGTCTATGGAGAGCTGGGTAGAATACCACTTAGTATATTAGTAAAGTCTATAATGGCTGGTTTCTGGCAAAGGATTTTGTGTGGTAAAAATGAGAAAATTTCCTTCACGTTGTACTCAATTTTGTATCAATTTAGCTCAAAAGGTTTTTACCATTCAAAATGGCTCATGGAAATTAAGAATATTTTACATGATTGTAATTTGGATCTAATGTGGAATGCTCAGTATGTTGATAAATCATGCAAAATTGGTGTGTTGGTTAAGAATACTTTAAGAAATAGTTTTATCCAAGACTGGAATATAAATGTATTAAATTCTCCAAAATGCCTTAATTATAGAATGTACAAGTGTGATTTTGGTTTTGAAAATTATCTAAACATGTTACCAAATGATCTTAGATTATATTTATGTAAATTTCGTTGTGTCAGTCATAACTTGCCAATTGAAGCTGGTAGATTTTATAGTATTGATAGATCTGAGAGACATTGTAACCTCTGCAATAACAATGAACTTGGTGATGAGTTTCATTATTTATTTAAGTGTCCTTTTTTTAAGAATGAAAGACAGAAATTTATACCTAGCAATATTTACAAAAATCCAAACACAGTATCTTTTTATAATTTGATGAATACTTCTGATATATTTGAACTAATAGGTTTAGCTAAGTTTTGTAAAACTGTTCTTAAATTATTTCATGCCTGAACTTCCTACAATGTAAACATTAAACGATTTTTTTTATATACAACCGTCAGTACTGTCCATATCAAAGTTCTTGTTGTGGTTCATTATGTTAACTGTTCACATGTTGATTTGTTCAATTGTTAAACTCTTATTGTACTAAGATACCCCATGTGGGGGCTTTAGTGAAAATAAAAGTTTCAAAGTTTCAAAGTTCACCACATTTTTCTGAATAGGTGAAGTGAATAACGCCGCCCTGCTATAATAATTTGTGGTGACGATAATCGTACGTTTTAAACTATAGACTTACCATCTTGTTACAACTAATCTGACCATTTATATCGCTCTGTATTTTTTTTTTTTTATCCCTCCGTACTTTTTTTAAAAAGTAAATGCCATCAATCTCTATCCAGAGCTATCATTCCCGCTTCGCTCCACTAATACCTCGAGGTGTTGTAGCGTAGCGTAATACGCCCTCTGGTGAGAGATTGAAATGCCATTTGTGGATTGGAGTTAAATCCCTTCTTTTGTGACGTCATATGAAGGGTAAGTGTTGTGCCCTCTCTTTATGTTTATACGTCTCTGGTGCAAGGTGATTTGGGATTTCCACGTCTAAGAAGGTCTGTGTAATATAGAAAATTTGTTTGAATGAGTGTAAGATATACCATTAGAGATTTATAATGTGAACTAAGTACTTCATATAGATCTATTTCTTTATCGTATCAGTGTTATGAATGTGGTTGACGATGCAAACAGTTCAGTTTTTTATGGGAAATGTCTTGTTATTTTACTGAATCATTTGTTTGTATTTATTTATGTATTTGCTTTTGTTTGTTGGGGGTTATGGAGGTCAAATCTAATTACCAATCTGAATAATTTTTAATAATTTGAAAGATGGACAAGATATATCTATAGGCTTAATAGGTCTATATTCTATGAGTTTTACTTGGCGTGCACTGACTATATAGATCTAGGCCTATCACATAACATTTAACGTTACGTATTGACGAATAATGACCCCCATAGGAAACAATGACAGGGCGTTTTTTCCGCCGTAGAAAAGTAAAATATTTAGTAAGGGAAAAAAACGTAGATATCAGTTTTCTACAATAGCCTTTTTGTGATAAATCGTTATTCAAAATTTTCAAAATTTATTTAAGCTGGATCTGTCAGAATTTGTCGAATCTGTAAAGGGTGACAACTGAAGCAACGATGTCCACAAGCCTTGCGTTTTTCTACTTGCTTGCAGCACATATTACCATTTCTGTTAAGGCAGGTCAGTAAAACACAGCTAGTAAAAGAATTCGTTAAATATTTACCAAGTTTAACTGCACATTAGGATTGTGGATGAGTATAGATTTCAGGCGCGGATCCAGGATTTTTTTCCGGGGGGGGGGGGGGGCAGTCAAAAATTTTCAAACCCAGAAATTTCTAAATTTCTTGACAAGCAACCCCCCCCCCCCTCCTCACAATGTCAAGGTTTTGAGATTTCGGAACTCCACACAAACCCTTGACATAAGTCGCTATCTAAAAGTTGGGGTTTGTGGTTACGTATGACGTAATGGGTAATTATAAACTAACCAATGAGAATGTATTTTTCAAATCCGTCGTTTTTAAATGGCCCAACTCCAGAGCATATCTTTTGTTACTGTTAGGATGACGATCTTCCAAAAATTAATCCCCGATGTTTCATTTAATGTAACTTGTCACAAATCCTACAATATCGACACTTTCCATTTTAAAGACGAGTCATATTTGTTTACATAACTCAACTACAATAAAAGCTGTTTTCTGATTGGTTCCAGTCCTAGACCAGGAACAAATGAAATAGTAGCTTTCTAGCCCAACTTTTAAATAACGACTTTTGTCAAGGGTTTGTGTGGAGTTCCGAACTCACAAAAGCTTGACATTGTGAGGAAGCCCCCCCCCCCCTCCCCTCCCAAACCAAACAAATAAAAATAAAAAAAAAAAACAAACAAACAAAAAAACGAAACGAAAAAAAAAAAACAAAAACAAAGAAAAACAACTTAAACTCCTTTCCCAAACGTATCAAACCCAGAACAGAATATTTCTTGACAAACAAAAAAAAACAACAAACAAACAAAACAAACAAACAAACAAAAACAAACAAACAAAAAACAACTTAAAATCCATTACCCAAGCGTGAAAAAAACCTATTTCGTGGTGGTGGTGGGGTCCACGTTTTCCGGGGGGGGGGGGGTTGTCCGAAGTCATTTTTCATTTGCTTCAGTATATACTTTTGATAACTCTGCAAATCCCCCCCCCCCCTTAGATCCGCGCATGGAATTTGAAACGACAGAAATAAGGTCAGTAATATAACTTTTTACATTGAATATATGACATGAAGCATTTCACAGAAAATATGTCTGAGATTTAGTAAAAACAAATGCTAGAATACTCTGAATAGTGTCATTGCTTTTGAAATGTTTACATGGCAAGTGGTTAACCTTTTTTTCTTACTTGATAATCTGGTTGACTTTTTGTCCATTTTAGAAAAAAAATAGAGTCAAAACAGTTTACTTTCAAACAATCATTCTGAGAGTGAATTTTAGAGCAAATCTAAGTTCTGGGTGAGCTGTAATTCCATGAAAAAATGCTTATAAATTCTTTTGATATACCGTTCTAGATGCACCATTCTGCAGTAGGCTACACCATGTTAGCTACTTTTATGCGTACTGCTACCAAGAGAGCATATATACAAGATGTAAGAACACTTGTGGCGAATTGTTGCTGGACAAAAAATATGTGCTAGCCGGTAGGTATAACATATTTATGTACAATTATTTCAAAATGGTTACTTGACCAACAATTTTTAATATGCTTTGATTAAGAAAACTCTAAACACTAATGGTTTTTAAAGACTTTTAGAAAATTATAAAGGTGTGCATAGTTAGTTTATTCAGTTCATTTTCGGCATAGGTCACCCGAACTTACCCGTCATATTTCTCCAGGAAAAATTCTCAAAGAAATTATTTAAAAAGTAAATATAGCTTAGAATTCCTATCATTCAGATTTTTTAAATATTAGATTAAAAATGGATAAAATGTAGAGAAACGACAGAGGAAATTCAGACTTGAATAATTAACAAGTTTATTGTCAACTCTGTTTGTTTATTTATGTTTATTAGTAACGCTATTCCATCTTTATTATATTTCATTATCCAAAGAGTTTCGTTTCCATATATATCATTAATAAAGAAAATATTAGATATTGGTCATTCTGTAAAAAAATAAAGAGGTATTTTCCGAGAATTACTTAGGAGCCACTAGAGTGAAAAGTAGAGCAGTGACCTACCGGTAGTTATTTGAAAGTGAATATTAACACTACAATCCGTGAATCGTAGGTCTACAATGCACAATAGGGGGTTTTTCATTTCTACCCGTGGAATTTTTTGTCATCTGAGTAAAGGCATCCATAAGAATACATGTACTTTAATAGACATTTAAAACAATAGATTCCTGTTATTTTATATTTACTAGATAACGGATACGAGAACACCTCTATGAAAAAAAAACAAAACAAAACAGGGGGAGGGACTCTTCAAGCATATATTTGACAGACATTTGAAGTATTTGTATTTCCTTTTAATGTTTCATTTTGTTTTATTCAGGTTGCCCCTGGGGAAACAACGCTAACATTTTATCCCAATCTCTGGACCAACGTTGTCGGGAAAAAATAACGTCATCCAACTGTTTCGAATACTGTGTGAGCCCGCTGATGGACAAAATCAAGATAGGCTGGGAATGCTGTAAAGACTGTGTCAGGGTATGCGGCAAGATGCCCCCACGGGATATTAACTTCCAACAGAGATATCCCACCGTCTATCCAAAGAAATAGAGCAGTATTCAATGTTGTGAAATTTTCATCATTATTTTACTAATTTAGACGAGTTTTAAGAACTGTGATGACTTAAGTTTTTTTCTGATAAAAAGAATGAAGGAATGTTATAATTCAAATGTTATTGACTCAATAAAGTATTCATTTCAGCCAAACCCACTAGTAGTTTAGAATGAAATACTTCATATTTTTTCCTGAAGTGCCTTGGAATATGACCGTAGAGACGCAGACACTTGTGAAGAGCCCCCCCCCCCCCACCCCTATATTGTTGCTCGCATATATATTACCACTGGGGACAAAATATGCCCGTGTGCATGCCAAATACATGTATTACATTTTCATCATAGACGCGGTATCTTGCTTATTTTGCGTCATACCAAGTAATTTCTGTTGTATATTTCGCATTTATGGTGGCATATTTCTGCCCCCTACATGCAAGATAATTTATGTTAACATGTAACATAATTATGTAGACATGCGACTTATTTTTTTCCACATACAAAATAATTATGTTGACATGCAAGATACCTATCTGTTTAGAAAATCTGATTTTAATGTTGGTAAACTTACTAACGCCATTATATGACATCATACAAGCATGATGCAGCAGGATTATTTAGACAATTTAGATGACCGAAGCAGAACTTGATGTTGTAGCTTTGCAAGAATGTACTTGTCAGACTAGCCAAATGAATGTGGTCCTGCTTTTTGTCATGTTGATACATGGCTCCAGGATGCTGGAAAACTAGTGGAGATAGGACTTTGTTAATATATAGTGTTGTGCTGTCAAATTCCTTAATTAATTAATATAAACACAATAGGACTTACATGTTTGGAATACCGTTCCCAACATCATAATCACCACCAGATTTATCAACCTCTCCCTGAACGAGGATGTATTTTTCTGAAAAACGTTCTTTACGAAGCTTATGTACTCTGACACTTCCATCAGGTTTTGCAATAAAAATCTGGACTCGTACCTTCTAGTAAACCAGACTGTTCACTATCGTTGCTGTGGACATACTTTGGTGGTCAGAGACCTTAAGTCTATGGTGGTGGTGCTGCAGAGTCAGAGCAATATCATGAAAAGGTCTTCCTTCTCTACTTTCAACATACCATAGTCGATTACAAACGGTCTGGCTCTGCGCAACCCAGGGATAGACGATATTGTTGTGGTGACGAAAACAATGATCAGAATCGACCCCTTGCTGTTGACGTCACGCGCGGTCTGTCGGATTTTTGGCGATCATTTGTTGTACCATGCTCTTGCTGTCTCTTTTGTAGACGATTGATTGTTATATGAGATAGGATGCTTTGTGAAAGCATCTTGCAACTGCAGACTGTGGTACACCTTCTTCCAGTCCCAACTGCGTTTTACATCATTCAGACGCAACATTTCTTAGTAGCGTCCACATTCAATGATAACATTTTGAAGAGCATCCCAGCTTTTGATAGACTTCTGGTACTTTAATCTTATGAATTAGAAACCAACAAAAGTAAAATATTACAAAGACCAAATTTTAGCATTTTTACAAAACAGGCTTTATCGTCTGTAAGTTCTGTAGAATGGCTGTCTAGTTACTATCATTCCAATTACAGCGTGTCACTTTGTTTGGTCGATCATGCTAAAGTTTCAAATGTTGATCACCATATTTCTCATCGATTGGAAGTTTGATTTCAATGAAATGAATACTTCTTTGCATATGAAACAGAGAACCCAGCAATACACTGATAATACTGACCAATCGCAATGGAATGATTGTTTACGAGTACAGCATTTGTAGTAAGCAGCAACACGTGGTCAGTCAGAGCTCATTGCTGGCTTCTCTGTTCATATGCAAAGTAGTATTCATTTCATTGAAATCAAACATCCAATCGATAAGAAATATGGTGATCAACAGTTGAAACTTCGGCACGCTTGACCAAAGTGACACGCTGTTACTGGAATGGTAGTAACAATAGGGTTAAACGTTAAAAGAAACAAATTATGCTCAAATGAATCATATTTGACTAAAATGTATGATAAAACTTTGTTGTATTATTCAGCGTATATTTTCTACGATTTTTAAAACAGTAAATAAGGGTAGTGGGACTCCCCGGTCTACTTATTTGATACATGTTCATGCGCACTGCTGTCCGTGATCGAATTTTCCTGCGCAGTGAAGTGTGTGTTTCAGTTGTGACAAAGCAATCAGTGTCAGGACGGGTACCCATACAGACTACCAGACTAAAAGTCATGAAAAGCTGTCTTTTATGCTTGTTAGCAGTAGGTTGGTTTGTCCACTACACAACAGCTGGTAAGTACATAAAAAACCTAAAGTACGTAATGTAACCTGATTTATGTAGCTGATGTGATACTTCATCAGTTCATACAACACTGTACAATTCTCTTAACTTTCCAATATCAAATCTATAATATATGAAGAATTCTAAAAAATGGTTATAACAACTGTTCAAAGGTTTAATCTGTAACAGAATAATCCCCGTCTGGCCCGTCGCATTTTTCTATTTTCCTGTTACATTTGGCGTGGCCTGGAAATGACATGTGGAAAACCTGCCAGGGAAGAGCATTGGTGGGTGCCTCCGGGGGCGAGGACCTTTTTAAAAGGAGGGCGGAATGTAGCAGTCAGACGGGTTCGATCGCCGGTGGCAAGATAGCTCAGCTGGTAGAACACCTGTAGAGATTCAGGGGGCCCGGTTCGATTCTCGGACTGCTCCGTCCTGTTACAAATCAATACAAAGTACTATCGAAATGCTGAACAATGTTCAGCGAGGGTTATCAAACACTAAATGTTACACTAGTACTCACTAATGATATTTGAAGTGAACTTGATTATCGCGTACTTAATTCCTTGTTCACACGAATGCAGTTCGGTTCAATTCAATTTATTCGGAGTCACTCTACCTGGAATAACGGAATCAAAATGAATGGGAAACGAACTATATTCAAGATTTATAACTCTCTCTGACAGTTGTTATGAAGAAGAAAATATAATGACATGTTTTTGTGTGTGTGCATTGTTGTTCTTCTTCAAAGATATATATTTCTACAATTAATTGCAATAATTAATAATCTTATTCTTTATACTAAGCACGAAGAAGAACGACAAAGTATTAAAATTTAATCAGGTTAAAATTAAGAAGGGGGTAGATTTCACTTTATATTCTTATTAAAAATTTCACTCATAAATTATTGTACAGTGTCGGTAACTACGTGATAAATACGTGAATTTTAAAACCACAAGATTCCGCTGACAGTGGAGGAATACTCAGGAAAAGCTAGAAATTGAATATACTTAATAAAAAAAAATAAGCTACCTCGGACCTGCTGTACACAAGTTTCTGTAATGAGTTATGGTTCTCTACATCGAACCCTGGAGGCAGTTGAAAGGCCTATTATTCGCTCAAACTATACGTAATAGTACACGAGGAACAAATCTATCAAATCCATGTATAACATATATACATAAAAATTTAAAAAAAAAACTGCATGGAGAAAGGACAGATACAAATAACAGTGTATACATACGTAATCCATGCATCCTTAATCCTTATTTCTGAAAAAAAGCTGAATATTCTCGGTGTAGTGATATTCATCGCCTACTTTTCCATTGTTACAACGGTACTTTTCTTTGTTTTGGAGGTAAATTTTTCAGGGGCGTAGCTAGAACTTTGATGAAATATAGGCACAAATTATTCTGTGTGCGGCGGGGGTCTGGCTGGGGGCCGTCCAAGTCCCCCAGCGGGTCCAGGGCAGCGCCCTGGTAGGGGGTTCGGGGGGGGGGGGGGGGCGAAGCCCCCCGACGGAAAATGGATATCAGGACTTTGAGACCCCTGGGTGACAATTTTTGGGCGTTTAAAATACAAAATTATGGGTCTCTTTAAAATGAAATTTCATATTAAGTAGAAATGATAAAAAAGTGCAGTCCAACTTTTTAACCAGAAATCTTAAGTTAGAAGAGTTTTCATATTTTTTCGGCGTAATCAAATTTAGAAAACATGAAGAAGAAAGTTATAAAGTATTCAAAAGTAATCAGACACAAAGCAATGTTTTACAATAAATAATGAATAAATATTGATTAAAATGACAATTAATACCACACATATCTTGTGAGCGTCAAGGGAGTTTTATATCTCTATTTAATGACTTGCATATAGAAATTTTAAAGACATTTTATAAGGAGTCCTACAGTGAAACGGCCGGTTAACTATTACATGTTAAATTTATTATTTGCACAGATCGGTGAATATTTATACATTCATGATCTCTCTTTCAATGGCGAAAATGATATTTAGTCATTTATTTTCTTTCTTTTTTACAGTTTTGTTTTTAATTATTTTTTTTTTCCTGAATGAAATGAAGTGTAGGCACGTGCCTTAAGTGCCTAATGGCAGCTACGCCACTGTTTTTATCAAAGTTTTCAAATCCGAAATTGGTTTTAAAAAATGCTGTAAACTTGGCCTTTAGAAGAACTACTAAGAAGAACTACTTACATCAATTAAACATTTCAGTATGTAGTACAAGTGAAATTGATGCAAAGCATCAATCGGCCGCAAAAATAATAATTAACATTTTGAAGTATTTCCAAAACAAAGAGTCCAAAGGAAAAAAAAATCAAAGTAGAAAAAGAATATGATACATTTTTACACTTGCCTTACATTTTGCCTTTTTTAATACCTTGATTTTTAGTGTTCTTGCAGTTGTATAATATTAATCAAAATAAATTCATGGATATACAAATCGGAATGAAATTAAGGATAGGAATGTATTATCATTGAATTATTTGATTCAAAGACCAATGCAACATACAGATCTGAAATGTCTTAATGCTGACAAAAAGGTCGTACAAACTTCACGTGCTGATACCCTGGATCACTGTCACGTGATAATGCCGATCAATGTTGTGATTGATTGATTGATTGATTGTTTATTGTTTAACGCCAAGTCGGCAATATTTCAATGTTGTGATAGATATATGTCCAGAATAAATGTGAAATGCAGAAAGCAATTTCATTGTGTGTGCAAATGTAGTATTTTCAACAACAAAAATCAGTTCTTAAACTTGTTACAATTTTATTAATAATTATTATTATTTTAGGCACAGTAATTTATATTCGGAAACTCGATACGTATTGTTCTTATATCTTACGCACGCCAAGATTGGGGAGCAGTTGATATATCAACTTTTTATAAAATCACAAATCAATAAATATCTGATGAGAAATGAAAAACAAATTGAAATTAATAACAACCAGTTAGCCTTATTATTAATCATTTAAAAAAATATTTATAACTTTTATAATTGTTATCAATTATTATAAGGATTTATCCCATCGAAGCAATGAAAAAATAATGCCTCATTTCCTCATGTGCACTTTCTAACACAACCACAAATAGATCGGCCGCTGCTGCGGCCGATAATTAGCGGCTATACACGGGGAAATTTGTTAGGATGACCTTGACCTTGACCGACTTTATGTACATTCATATATACATCGGGGGGTAAACGATGGTAGGGTGAATTCGACATACTTTTTGCAATAAGTGCACATACACTGAGGGTAGTCGATGGGTATTTGATATTGAATAACACAAAATAATTAGACCTGATCGCACTTATATACACCGGGGGTTAACAATGGGTCTTTTTTTCAATTAACACGAAATAAGGAGGCAATAACCGACTTACGGTAATCATCACTCAAGGTACACCGATTTCACTGAATGCGGGTTTGACCTATCTATTATAATAATCTAGTTAATGGAGATATTTAAAACTTGCACGGGGAGTATACAATAAATGACATAGATCCTTATAAACTTCGTTTAAAAAATGAAGGCACAAATCAATGAATTTGATATGTCCTCTCGTTTTTTGATCAAACAAGAGATAAACGTATTTTGATAGATGAATATACTCCCTCCCCAAAGTTTTCACGTTTTACTATAACTCATCACAAAGCATACAGTATGATAATTTTATTTCTCAGTGACCAATCACATTGAAAGAGGCACCATGTAATTGATGGACTAGAGCCTTGGAGTGGAGTTTGGAGTCAAATTTTGGAGTCTTTTTTTTTTTTTAAGAAAAAGATTTTTAAATTAAAATTTGTAAGTTTCTGACAGTGATGTAAGTATTTGGAACTGGAGGAAATTACATCATTAGTGAATAGACAGACATGATACTAACAAGATAATCCCTGTACTTTCAAAATTCGGAAACTGTTGAACGTACATTGTAATTAATCAACAGATACAGTCTGTCTTACTGGTTGTTTAGATAGTAAATACAGTTTAATTGGACGTGTTAACAAACCTGTCAAGAGATATTAGGTTCAGAGTTTATAGCAATATATGAAGGCAGTCTTTAGCTCACCTCAACGAAGTTGGGGGAGCTTATGTAATACCCTCGGCGTCGGCGTCCCAGGTTAAAGTTTTTGGTGCTTTCTTTTCAAGTACTTCTATGCCCTATATTAATCAGAGGTGTATAGATGATGCCTCTAGTGTGTTTCATTGTACCAGTCAAAGTTTAAGATGCTGCAATTTCAGCTAAAGAATGACCAGGTTAATGTTTTTAGAGCAGGTTAAAGTTTTTGGAGCAGATCTCATTTCCAAGTACCTATAAGCCCTATATTGACCAAACATGCACGGATGATACATCTAAGGATGCAAACTACTGGACTTGGTTCAGATGCTGGGTCTGACCTACATTTTCCGGATGAGTGACCAAGTTAAAGTTTTTGGAGCAGCTCTCATTTCCAAGTAACTTTTAGTCCTCTGTTGACCAAACTTGCATGGATGATACACCTAAAGATGCACACTACTGGACTTGCTTCGGATGCTGGATCTGACCTATATTTTCCAGATGAGTGACCAGGATAAAGTTTTTGGAGTAGATCTCATTTCCAAGTAACTTTAAGTCCTCTGTTGACCAAACTTGCATGGATGATACACCTAAAGATGCACACTACTGGACTTGCTTCGGATGCTGGATCTGACCTATATTTTCCAGATGAGTGACCAGGATAAAGTTTTTGGAGTAGATCTCATTTCCAAGTAACTTTAAGTCCTATGTTGACCAAACGTGCGTGGATGATACATCTAAGGATGCACACTACTTGACTTGCTTCAGATGCAGGATCTGAGCTATATTTTCCGGATGCGTGACCAGGTTAAAGTTTTTGGAGCAGATCTCATTTCCAAGTAATTATAAGGCCTATCTGAACCAAACTTCCATGAATGATGCATCAAGGGACGAATACTCTCAAACTTGATTCAGATGCTGGATTTGACTTA